AACGGCCCCCGGGGGGGGGGGGGGGGAGAGGCTGGTCTCCTCCTCGGACGCCCCTGGCTAAAGAAGCCCGGCTGCTGCCGCCGCCGCTGCCTGGGGGGGCGCCGCTTCGCTTCTGTGGCCCCCCCCTCCCTCCATGAGCACGATCCAGACGGGAGCAGGCGGCAGGGGGCTCGCCTCCTGGGCGGACTCGGGCCGACTGTCGGCGGAGCGCCCTGGGGAGGCGGGATTCTCCAACCCGCTGGGACGGGAGAGCCGCCTGCAGACGGAGCGCGAGCTGGGGGGGCGGGGGTCGGACGCCTGAAGGCCCGCTTTCCCTTCGCAGCCCTCCCGTCGCCCCTCCCCAGCCCCTCGGTGTCCTGTCAGAGTGGGGAGGGGGGGTAGTCTCCAGGTCATGGCTGGAGGTCTCCCGGGATTGCACCTGATCTCCAGGTGACAGAGATCAGTTCTCCTGGAGAGAAGGGCGGCTTCGGAAGGTGGACTCTGTGGCGTTGGACACCACTGAGGGTCCCTTCCCCTCCCCTCCATTCCACCCTCTCCAGGCTCCCCCCCCCCCCAAATAAAATCTCCAGTCTGGAGCTGGCTGCCCTGGGGGATTCAAACCCAGGTCTCTTCCTGCATCCTGCTAACCGTTGGACCACACTGCCTGTCTCTCAGCTGCAGATGGCAGCAGGGCAGCAGCTTCCCCAGGTTCTCCACCCCATCTTTGCTGATGGGTCCTTCGTGGCCAGCTGCCTTCTCCCCCCCCCCCAAGTGACTCCCCTGCCATGCATTGTTGGTGAGGCCTGCCCCTTTCTCCCACCCCCCTTGAGTGGTTGGTGGGCCTTTCTTGTCTTCCTTAGGTGGGGAGGCAAGAGGCCAAACACGCCTCGGCTTGCCCCAGCCAGAGGAACATAAAGAGTGCTTGTGTCTTCAGGAATGCAGGCGGCGGTATTTTCTGTGGCTGCCACTTCCTTCATTCCATGGGGGTTGTGTGTGTGTGTGCCTCCGCAGACACAGGTGTTCGAGCCGCTTCCCGGCAGTGGTTGGGTCAGGGCTGGGGAGAGGCTGGGGCTCAGAGTCCCACTCTGCCTCGGAACCTTGCGAGGCGCCCTTAGGGCAGTCCCACACTCAGCCTGGCCTGCCGTGCAGGGTTGTTGTGAGGGTAAAATGGGGGAGGGGAGAACCATGTGCCAGAAGAAGGTAGACTAAGAATGGGGCTGGGAGCTCGGTGGCTGCAGACTACCCCCAGGGCTCACAGAACAAGTTGCGTAGCCTTCTGCTTAGCCCAGGACTAGTTTTCGGGGATGTTGACTGGTACTGGGAGCACAGGGGCTTGGGAAACCCAACCAGGGGGGAGAGGGTGGCATGCACGCGCGCTTCCCATGCAGAGTGGTGACTTCTGGTCTGCAGCCAGGCACTGATGCTTACCAGATTGACAACCAGTTGGGGGCATGACCAGACCAGAGTTTGCCAGGAGCAAACCCCAGGGTGTTTTTTTTTTTTTTAAAGGCAGCTCCAAAATGTGGTGGCCGCCAAGGCTCCCTCTAAGCTGTGGAGTCCTGTGAGCAAAAATTCTACTTGGTGAGCTCCTGGCATTAAAGTTGTGAGCGAGCGATTGGGCTGCTGCATGAATTAGTTTGCTCTGAAGCCACCCTTCCTGAGCTAAGACAAAAATCTGTGAGCCGGAGGCTAAAAAACTGTGAGCTAGCTCACACTAACTCAGCTTAGAGGGAACACTGGTGGCCCCAGAGGTTTCTCTCTGTGCATGCACAGAGTGCTTCTCCCGTTGCTCTAAGTCACCATGAGCACCTCCCTTCTCCCCTGCTGGGATCCATTGTTCCTTTCTAGGAGGACTTTGAGCCCCACTGCACCTTAGAAAAGGAGCGCTTTATCTTCTGCCAGCTCTGGGGCAGGGTGACCTTCGGGCAGGAGTTCTGCAGGGAAGGTCAAAGGCAGGGACTGATCCCCCTCCCCAACACACACACAACAAACACACATGCTGCTGCCTCAGCACATTCTTTAGCCAGCCAAGCATGATGGAGTCTTTAGTGAGAACTAATCGTTTGCATGCGCCCCCCCCCCCCCCCAATCCAGACTTCCCGGCTCCTCTAGTTTTATGCTTGCTCTCCCTAGCTTCTCCAGCTTGGGGTCCAGAGAGACCCTGTGCTCTGAAAGGCAGTGCCAGTTTAATGCTGTGTGTATAACCAGAGTCCTTCTGGAGCATTCAGAACATTTCACCACCTGGCTGGCGCGGTGGGGGAGGGCAGCGCTCGCTCGGCTGGTCTGATCCAGCAGGGCTTTGCCCGTATTCTGACACCGGGCAAGCCGGCCTCCCTTTTTGTGGCTGCTGTGCTGAGTTGGGAGAAGTTAACTAGGCTAAATTCTCCCTTCTGAAAAGATATCCTGGAATAGGGGTGGGTCTGTGGCTGCTTAGATGTGTGAAGGCCCTGGAGGAAGGAAAAAGAAAAAAAGAATACGTTTGGAGAACAGTTGTTTTCCCTGAGGACTTTCCCCGTAGATTTTCACAAACGCAAAACTGGAAAACTTTAGGGGAGTACTGAAATAAACTCTGGGGGTTTTTTTGTTCTCTTTTGGAATGAATGAAAAGTAGTTTTTAAGACCATGGTTTACTCAGCTGATGTCTTAAATAAGTTTTCTTGCTCTATGACGTACGGTAATAATCCCTTTGTATTGTACAGACCTATCAAATATGTTTTCCACGATACGTTTATTTAGATGTGAAACACTGTTGGCAGCAATATGCTGTAATGCAATTTGTAGTAAACTCGGGTGCCGTGTTTTCACTATTATAAAGGGTAATATTATCAAAACATGCTGGTGTTGTGATTTTATGAGGTTGCTTCTGTCAAAGTAATACAGTTTCTTTTCCTGGCTACAACATTTGTTGTCTAATTTCAGCTTTCATCCCCCCTCCCAATCTCTTACGACAAAACCCAAAATATGTGTGATAGGGTAGCAGAGGGCACAGTGGTTTTGCAGCTATGTATTTGCAATTTTGCTTGAAGAAAACAAAGGCGTTTACACTTTCAAACTGTAGAAAGATGCCATTTAGTGCCTTTTATACGTGAAGCAAGTAACAAATGATGCGTTTTATGTTATTAAAGCAGCTTAAGTTTGATAGGAAGGTAAGTATTGCACTTATTTCAGTCCCCCCCAAAAATGTGTGTTTGTGTTTTGGGGGGGAGGGTGCTTGGTTTTCTGTTTCTTTTTCTTCTGGCTCCAAAATGTCCAGAAGTGTTACATCCCTAGGCTTGTCGCTTTCTTGATTAGGAGGAGAGGCCGGCAATTGAGAATAGACCCCCCCCCAAAAAAAATATATGGCCCAGGTGTTGCTCTGTGGATCTTCCCCTCTCTCCCAAATGGCTGGCTTCTTGTATCAGCCAGGTGTACAGAATACCTGAGCTTAGTGCGTGCTCTTGAAGCGCTCTGATTCTTATTAGGGTCTCTCTTGTTTAAATCTGTAATCTGCTGGCAGCACTTGACGTCACCATTTCTGCAGGCTGCAGCTCATCTGGTGCAAAGACCTCAAAGGGGCCGGCTGTTCCTGGGCAAAGTGGCGCCCAGATCCTGTTTGTATTGGTTTGGAAAGATAAGCCCTTTTTCCTCCTCCCCCCCCCACCTTCCCTTCCCATAACAAAAGGAGGGCAGCTCTCCGAAGGGGAATCCCTCTGCCTCCTCCCCCAGGGGTTTCTTGACCTTCCCTCCCCAATGAGTAGAGAACTGACTCCAAGTGGCAGATGACCAGCTGAAATGCTTGGTGTGAAAACCATTCAGAGCGGACAATAGCAAATTGAATCCCCAGGACAAGGGCATGCCGCCAACGGGTTCTGCCAGTCATAAGAACATAAGAGATACCAATGTTGGATCAGGCCAAAGGCCCATCCAGTCCAACCCTCTGTATCACACAGTGGCCAGAAATACCCGGTGCCATCAGGAGGTCCACCAGTGGGGCCAGGACATTAGAAGCCCTCCCACTGTTGACCCCCCCAAGCACCAAGATGACAGAGCATCACTTGCCCCAGAGCCCCTATCTATACCTTGTGGCTAATAGCCACTGATGGACCTCTGCTCCATATGCTTATCTAATTCCCTTTTGAAGCCGTCCATGCTTGTAGCCGCCACCACTTCCTATGGCAGTGAATTCCAAGTGTTAATCACTCTTTGGGTGAAGAAGTACTTCCTCTTATCCGTTCTAACCCGACCGCTCTGCAGTTTCATGGAGTGCCCACGAGTTCTTGTATTGTGAGAAAGGGAGAAAAGTACCTCTTTCTCTACCTGCTCTTTCCCATGCATAATCTTATAAACCTCGATCATGTCACCCCTCAGCCATCGTTTCTCCAAGCTAAAGAGCCCCAAGCGCCTTAGCCTTTCCTCATAGGGAAAGTGTTCCAACCCTTTTATCATTCGAGTTGCCCTTTTCTGCACTTTTTCCAAAGCTATAATATCCTTTTTAAGGTGTGGTGACCAGAATTGCACACAGTATTCCAGATACAGGGCACACCCTGGCATGGTGACGCCTCGCCTGGCCCCAGCACGCAACCCTTCTGTAGGGTTGCCAACTCTGGCTGGGGAAGTCCTGGAGATGAGGGTGTGGTGCACGGGGAGGGTGGAGTTGGGAGAGGGTAAGGAACTCAGCAGGATGTGGTGCGGTAGAACCCGCCCTCCCAGAGCGGCCATTTCCTCCAGGGGGGTTGATCTCTGTCCTCTGGAGATCACGTGTCAGGCTGGGAGATCTCCAGACGTCGTCACCTGGAGGCTGGCATCCCTGCCCTTCAGTGGGACAGCCGCTTGGAGGGCTTGCGCAACCTGGCTGGTCTTGGAGTCTCAACCCACACAAATGAGTTTTGCCTCCTGTGAGCCGACACCATGCGAGGGGCTCCAAACCCCACCCCCATTGTTAGCAGTTCCTGCCCTGCAGAGTCCTGTGGAGATTGGTGCACCCCCCCCCCCCCCGCCCCATGCACCATGTTGATGCCATCCTGCCAGTCTTTTCAGTACACTTGAGGAGCAAGCATCAGTTAGCAGAGAAGGGAAGAGGAGCGGTCTGTGTTTCATTCTGGGGTCACACTGTGGCCACACGTGCCAGGCCTCAGTGCCACTTTTTTAACCGAGGATCGCAGCGGCCCAGCACAGGATGTTGGAACAGGGCTCTGGCATGCCTGGAAAGGTCTGTGGGGTGGCAAGGGGTTTAAAGAGATTGAAGAAGAGATTGGATTTATTCCCCGTCCTTCACTACCTGAAGGACTCTCAGAGCAGTTTACAATCTCCTTTCCCTTCCCCACCCCACA